AAACTCAGGGGGTCACTTTGTCCTTATGCTTCAGATTATTTTATGAATAAACAGGCAGTAAGGACTGTCGCTCTTAATGAAGAGTCTCAACTCCTCAGGACTCCGGCCCCGGCCACAGGAGACCCACCGGGGCAGCCTGTGACCCTGGGGACCATGTGGGCGGCACACGTGGGGCAGGCCCAGGTTCGTGCCCCGAAGCCCAGCCCCCAGGAGGATTCACCCCAGCAGGTGCAGCTTGTGCGGGAGGTGGGCCTCACCTCCACCCACTCTGTGTGCCGCTCCTGGGGGTACAAAGCTTCCTGGGAAGCACCATTTCCTACGTAGAAACAAAAGCAGTGAGGGGTCTGGGGAACCAGTGCAGGAGGCGGCCTGAAATGCTGGGGTGTCTGAGTCACCCTGCGGGGCCCGAGCAGGGTCGGAGGCGAGGCCCGAGTCGGTCACCACGAGACTTTATTGGAGACAGGATCACACGTGACGCCAAGCACACACGGGCCACACTAGCACCTGTCCCATGCCATGCTTTGTCCGTCGTGGGCGGTGCTGGCCCTCCAGCGCCCTCACTAGCCCTGGAGCACACCCACACGCCAGCCTGGTGTGGACAGAGTCAGGCAGCCTGTTGGAATGGCAGCGGGTAAAGTGACCAGTCCCAGGTCAGAGCCCGGTTCCCCCAATCGCACTGAGGCCCAGCTTCAGCCCTCCGGGTTTGCCGAGTCCTGCTGGCTGCCTGGCCCACTCGGTTTGGAGACAGCCCTCTCCCTGCAAGCAGATGAGGAGACAGGCCCTGGGGAGGCCCCAGCCACCTGGACCAAGGCCTCGTGTCCTTGGGCTGTGTACAATCTCCTGATGTGTCCTCCTGTCGGCATCTTGCTCCTCAGACTCCATAGGTCAGAGATCTGTAGCTGCCTGGGGCCTGCTCTTGTCCCCCCACCCCCATGTCAGCAGACATGGTGTCCCCACCTCCCCACCTCCTGCTGGAGCGGATGCAGCTGGCAGTTCCTGCTGGGTGATGGGGCTCCCAGCTTCCAGGGCTCTGGCCTCAGCCAGGCCGGCCAGAGGCCTGCATGGGTGAGGGTGGGTGGCCACGGGGGACCAGGAAGCAGTGGGCGCTGGCGATATCAATGTCACTTCTGCCCCAAGACAAACATTATAAAATCTATTTACATGTGGCTGCAGGGGGAAATGCAATTTGACAATGTCTCACAGCTCTCTCCTTATCTCCTGCCGCCTGTGCCAAGGCTACCCAGGGTTTGTTCATCCCCGGACCTACAGAGCTAAGGTGGCCAGCTGAATGGCATCCCAGAGATGTATCCAAAGTTTGAGAGGCAAGAAGCGAGGCCATTGGCTGATTCCACAGAACCTACCTGTGCTTGTGGAAAGGAACTTTCAGAAGCTTGTTGGGGGATAAATGCACTGCCTCAGGATCCCCATGTAGAGCCCCCCTCCCCTGCTTGGCTCTCTCCTCATCAGGGAAGGAAGTGGAGGGGCTTGATCTGGTCACGTGGTATAACTGGGCCACAGGCACCCCACCATCAAGCCATCAACTCAGGCGTCGTGGGTCAGCCTGTCAAGGGGTGCCCTTTGGGAAGGGGGCGCACTGGCCGTGGCTGTCCCCACCACGCTGGGACTCGTGCCCACTTAGCCAGTGTTTGGCCCAGCCGCGCCCCCAGTCGTGCCAGGTCTGGGCTGAGAGTGGGGCTGGGGCTCTCCGGTAGGAGGGAACCGGTGTCTCCAGGTCGGCCAGATGCTCCTGATGGCCACCCTCCCCTGGCCCCCTGCCAGGCCCAAGCTGTGGCATGTCTGTTCCCCAGCCAAGCCCTGACACGTGCGTCCCGGAGCTTCCCAAAGCACACGCACATCTGTGACTCCACTAACATCACGCTCACCAGGAGTTTGTTTGATGACAGATCAGAAAGTGCTTGGCACTTTCTAAACAGTAGCTGGCACTGCGAGGCTGGCAGCAGAAGCTGGCTGCAGCCTGGGGCTGGGGGGGAGAGGGGGCTCCCGGGATGGGGACTCAGGGTCCCACTGCCTCTGCTCCTTGTCTGGGGGTCCCAGCAGCCAGAGTGGGCTGGCTCTGTTGGTTTCTAGAGAATGAGAAAGGGGGCCCATCAGGGGGTCTCGTGTGGTCATCTTATACACATCCCTCCACACCGCCCCCACCCTGCCCTGTGCGGCTCCCGTCACTGCCCTGGTCACACTGGGCTGTAATTGCCTGTTTCTTGGCTGACTTGATTCCAACGGAGCGCCAAGAGGGCAGGAACTCGGTCTTGTTCAGCATCCAGGGAAGAACCTGGCCCACAGTGGATGTCCAGCGAACCCTGCTGAATGCCGACAACCAGGTGGAGCTGGAGGGGACCGGCTAGGTCATGTGGCGAGTCAGTGGCACAGGGGCTTTTCCTGCTGCCCCTGGCCAACTCTGATTTATTATTATTGAAGGGAGAGCTGAACCCCACACTCCGCCATTTGACTGCCTTCAGGTGTCCTGTAAGGGAAACACCCTCTCCCGCCTGCCTGAGGAGGGGTCAGTCGCTGGGCTGCCCACCCTCTGGGCGGCTCTCCAGGTGGACTTCCTGGCCCTCTCAAAGGCCCCCTCAGGTCCCCACAGGTGGGAACTTGGGAAAACAGCCCTACACTTGGTTCTGACAGCAAACGTATCAGGGTCCCAAGGCTGCTCAGCCAGGGGTTAAGGGCTGGAGTCCCAGCCCTGCCCTTCCGGCTTGTGGACCGTGGGAACCTGCGTTTCAGTCGGAGGAGAGCAATAATAGTACGCTGGGCTTTGGGAGGATTCAATCAGAAATGTCTGAGTGCCTGGCAGGTGCCTCAGTCTCCCTACTTGGCCAGTGAGGCCCTTCCTACCGCCCCACACAAAGTGGCAACATCCACAATCACCAGCAGGGGGCGACCTGCCCACGGAGACAGCAGCCTCTGGCTGACGGGGTAACAGCCACCAAACCCCTCAGGTTCCAGCCTTCATCCTCCAGGCCTGCACCTAGAAGGACCTAGGATCCTGGAGTCCTTGCCTGGAAATTGGTGGTGGGGGTGGTTCAAGGCCCGCCAAAACCCAGAAAACCACGAGGTCTTCCTTGGCCCAGCCCAGACCAGTGGTGCAGGACCTGCCCCTGCCTCCCCCGGCAGGAGAATGGGGTGGGGCTGGTCTCCAGCTGCCCCAGGAAGGCAGGAGCCTGGGCCCAGCAGCTAAGGGGACTGGGGGCCTCCCAGTCCTGCAGAGACAGAGGGGTGGATGGGTGGGGAGGGCTCCAGGGAACTGGTCTCGGTCACATTGGGGCGTGAGTTCCTGAAGGCAGCTTCACCCCAGCCTGGCCCAGGGACATGGTGGGATGTGGCCACCCAGCCCATGGGCCCAGGCAGCCCTTAGCACCAGCCACTCCCCAGTCCTTGGACGAGAGGTGGGATCTCCAGGCACCAGAGAAACGAAGAGGCGGGCAGGAGGGCCAGAGGAGGGTGGCCTCAGACTGACTCAAAGATCTGACCCTTCCCGCTGTCTGCTAAAAGATTCCAGGGTGCCGTCTGTCCCTCCTCTGTGAGCCCATTACTCTGGGTGTTTGGACTGACAAAGAGAGGGCTGCCAGAGCACAGGGCAGACTCCTGGTCAAGAGGAGGTGGACACAGCCCAGGAAACAAAATCTGGGCAGGTAGAATTTGGGGTGGCCAAATTTGCCCCCCACCATCCGAGGCAAATTAGGGGTGGGGATGGTGTGAAAGTGATGTGTGACCTCACTTTTCCAGGGGGTGCTTAGTGTCCAGGGATGGCCTGGCTCACCCCAAAGCGAGAGCACATCAGTCACGTGCGGTCAGGCGGGCAGCTGAGCAAGAGCGGATTTGGGGGCGGGCAAGGGGACAGCGGGCGTGGGTAGCAGGGGATGGGGCGGAGCCAGGCGGTGGGCGGGGCTGGACAGTGCGCCTGGCTAGCGGTCCTCACGGACCGGCCGGATCTTCATCTCGGAGAACTTGAGTGAGTACTGCCAGCCGGTCCAGGAGGACCACTCGATGCCGTCGGCGTAGGAGGCGTGCGCGCCGCGCAGGTACTGCCCGTTGAGGTTGGATGTGTGGCAGTTGCGGTACCACCAGGCACCGCGGTAGAAGGCGGCGCAGTTGTTCTCGGAGTGGTCACTGTCGCGGTCCTTGGTGGTGAACCTCATGCCGCTGTGCTTCAGGAGGGAGTCCCCTGCGCAGGCGTGCACACACGGGTGTGTACTCACGGGTGCACAGGTGCATGCGTGCGAGCACAACTTCCCGAGCACGATGCAGATCCCCAGGACATGCATGAGCACACGTGCCCCGCTGTATGCACACTGGTGCACATGTACACATCTGCCCCACCCCCACGTTCAGTGTCCATGCAGCTCACAGGCACCCAGGTGCCACCTTGGTGGTCCCCGTGGCTGTCCCTGTGTTAGGCAGTCTCTCCCTCTTCCTAGCTTTGTCACACACTCCCTTCCCTTGCTTTCTTGCCTTGGCCTGAGAGGAGAAGCCCAGCCCAGAGCAAGTCAGCCACCTCACTTTAGAGAATCAGCAGAGCCCAAACTCCAGGTGTCCTGATTCCTGGCTCTGGGCTCATCTGCAAAATGGGTGGACAGTCCAGGTCCAGCTAGCTTCATGTGGTTGGGATGATGACCAGGTGGGACTTGGAGGTGGAGATGAGAAGCCTTGATCCCGGCCCCTGGCCTGGAAAGACCTCCTGTGTCCTCCCAGCTGGGGGGACTGGCGGGCTGCCCCTGCCCTTCACCATCCCTGCTGCAGCCTGGAGCCCTACCTGCAGTGCCCGAGTAGTCAGCCACAGTGAGCGGGTACCCATCTTCCTCAGGGTCCACGGAGAACAAACCCACGCCAAAGCTCCTGTAGTGGGCGTAGGCTGTGCTGTTGTCAAAGTCCTCCAGGTCCACGTGTAGTTCATAGGCCGCCTGTGTGGTCAGGGCATGAATCCTCTTGAGTCCTGGAATGGGGGAGAGAATGGCGGGAGAAGTTGAGGGGCCTAGGAAGTAACCTCCCCAGAGAGAACCAAGGAGAGAGAGAGCTAAGATCATGTGATCAGTGACAGAAAGTGACAACAACCACCAAGTGTATGCTCTCAGCCCAGGCTACTTCCTTCTTCCTGCAGGCCTGTGTTTGACAGAAAACTGAAGACTGACAGTTTTTCATGTTTCATGTTTTCTGTGTTCACTTTAAGTCAGACTGTGCTTTCCAACTGTTTTAAGCTGAAGTCTGGTAGAAAGATTGCAGGAGTCAGGAGGAATCTGGAAAGTCTTCCAGGTTGGGCGTGATGGCACCTTTATCTTCTCTGACACTCTGGGCTCCAGCCAGATGGAATCTGGCAATGACACACACTTCTCCAGTCTCTGAGCCTTTGCACATGCTGTTCCCTTTGCTTGGGACACTGTTCCCTACTCCTCACCCGGTTACCTTCTGTTCATTTTCAGGTCTCATCTCACTTCCTCAAGAAAGCCGCCTGACCTCCTGTCAAGGTTGAGGACATCTGCCAACCCCGGTATTTGTCATTCTGGTCCCAGCTGCCTATTTCCTTGTCCGTCTTCCCCTCAGTATAGAAGCTCCTTGATAGAAACACGACTGTCCCATTCACTCCCAGCATCCGGGGTGGGGCCCAGCATGCAGTAGGTGCTCAATAAATTCTGGCTTAGTGGACAAGAGGCAGAAGACCATACCCGCGTCTCCTACTGTCTGTGGCGCCTGACCCTGCTTCCCCCCACCACACCGAGTCCCACTTCCTCCCTCCCTCTGTCCCGCCCCTCCTCTGCTCTCCTGCCTGCAACCTGGGGTCTCACCCCTCCCCTTACACTCACTCACACTCAAGGCGCTTCCCTGCTGGTTTGATTACCTCTTGATTAAGAGGGCATTTAATTAAATGCCTTACAAGTTATCAGCACCCAGTGACATTTCATCAGCCTGTCCCCGCTGCTTTCCTAAGCTCCAAACCCCTCATGAGTGGGTCAGCGTGTGCATGCTAACGGGCTTGAGGGCTAGTCAGACCCCTCCTCATCCAGCCCAGAGGCAAGCCTCCGTCCATCGTCCAGGTCCAGGGCAAAGCGGAAGGAACAACAGCAGTACGGACGGCAGGCCTGCCCGAACCCCCCGGCATCCCCTGCTATTGCTCACGGAGGACCCGGCCTCGGGAGCACGAGGCTCTCCCTGCCGGGGCTGGAGTCTCATGGCAAGCTACTGCCCCTCTCTGGGCCCCGCCAGCACTCCTGTGCAGTGACGGCCAGAGGGCTTCACAGCCTGCAAAGGGCAGATCGTAGGCAACGCTGACAGAAGCCACTGCCACCTGGACAGCACTTAAAAATGCCAGGCACTGCTATGAGCGCTTCATGTGGATTAGTGAAGCCAGGGGAATTAGAATGAGTCCAATTTAATTAAGGAATCCCTGTACAGCTCTTAGAACAGTGCCTGCCTGGCCCACGGCACCCGTTACCCGGGTGTTTGCTGCTGCTCTTGGGATCCAATGAGGCAGGTATTATTATCACCCCTATTTTATAGGTGAGGAAAATGCAGCACAGGGAGGTTAAGTAACTGGCCCAGGTCACACAGCTGGGAAGTGGCAGAGCTGGGATTTGAACCCAGGCAGACTTGCCCAGACTCCACGCCCAGGACAATCAGATCCAGGAATAGGGCAAGAGGGAGACCAGCAGGGAAGCTGGAAGGGTCCCTTCCCCACCACCGAATGGTCGCTGTGTCCCCCACTGGCACACCACTCCTCTGGGCTAAGCAGGGCTCCGCTCCTGATGCCCCATCCCAGTGCCCACGAGGGCAGGTGCCCTGAAGGAGGGGCAGCTTCCTCTCGGATTCAGTTCACCCTCATCTCCACCCTGCTTCCCGTGAAGGCCTCCTCTCTCCCAGCCTCCATCCCTCTCAGTCGTTACTCTCTGGGTTTCTCCAGCCCTTATTGGTCTGCCAGGATATTCACAACCCCTGCTTCCCTGAGCCCCCGGATGTTAAGCTGAGATCCAACCCCACCATCCATCAGAGTTCAAATCGTAGAACGTGAGGAGGAAGGAGCCAGCAGAAAAATACTTAGACCCCTGTCGTCACCCCAGTGAACCCCCAGATGGATTAATGATATGAACCTACCACCAAACACTCAGAAAGCATTTTAAACATAGGCACATTTTATAAAACTGGGAGGGGAAAGCAGGGCCTAAAATTTAGAAGATATGAAGTCTAGCCGAATTGATTACATAAAAATTTAAAACTTCTAGAAAATAAGCAATAATGTTACTTTAAAAAGGCTGGAAGACAAATGACTGGGAGTAAATATGTATCGCGTGTATGTGACAAAGGATCAATGACCTTAATATGTAAAGAGCTCCTGTAACTCAATAGGAAAAGAAAAAACACTTGATGAGAAGGTGAAAGGGGAGCATGGAAAAGCAGAGACAGGGCAGTCGAGGACTGGGCTCGAGTTGACATTCCCAACAGGGCTGCCTGTCTGCCAGGAGCTAATCAGGGCTCCGCTTACATGCTTCTCCCGCCCTCGGTGGCTGCCGATAGATTTCAATTAAGATGCCAGGAGCAGCAGAGGCATCAACGCTGCTCCAAGGGGGTGGGTGGTGCTGCAGGAATAGGGCCCCTACCTAGCCAACTTCTCCCTATCTTTACACACCCACCTGGGTGTTGGGGGGGCAGGAGAAGGGTCTCCCCACCTAGAAGCTTCTCTCCCCTGACCTCTATCCTGCCCTGCTTGCACTCATTCAGTTCAGGGTATTTGTCAGAACTTGGCTGGGTTCCAGCCATGAATCCTGCCCAGGCTTCCCTGACCCCAATGCGCGCGTGCGCGCGCGCACACACACACACACACACACACACACACACACATCAGCCTTGGGTCACCTGTGGCAAGTGGCTTCACCTCTCTGAGCCTGGGTTTCCTCATCCCTAAAAGGAGAAGATACAGCTGTGCCATCCTCCTAGGGTGGGCACGTGGTGTCAGGGCCGATGCACGTAAAACGGGCGGGGTGCACAGTGGGTGTGCGGTACGTAGGGGCTGTGCTCACGAGGTCCACGTGAGGTGTCTGGCCTCTCCTGTGGCTGGTGCTCGCCTGGGCACCGGGGACACAGAGGAGGTCAGGGCAGAGAGGGTCCTGCCCTCATGGACTCCAGGTGGGAGGAGACAGACATTAAGCAAATGACAGTGCAAACCAGGTGCCTTTGTGCACAAGGGAGCAGGCTGCCTGGACCAAGCCCAGGGGACCCACCCTTCTCCCAGATTCTGCTGAAAGTCTCTACAAACCTGGGACGCTCCGGACCCCCACCTGGAGCCGAGACCTTGGCACCCGGCCCTCTGGTCGGTCCCCGTGCCTCCACCTTGCCCTCTGGTCCTCCCCTCCTGCCTGGATGGGGACTGTTCCAGATAGCTGTGCCCAGGGACGCGGACGTGAGCAGGTGCTCTGTGGGGTGTTAGAGGCCATTCAAATGAGGCTCGGGGACATGTCGTTCCAATGCTGTGTGTTTATTTTAATGTATGTGAAAAATATAAATGGGGGTGACTGCTAATGGAGGCACAGGGTTTCTTTTGGTGGGTGAAGAAAACGTTCTGGAATTAGTGGTGACAATTGCACAATTCTGTGAACATACTAAAAACCAGTGAAGTGTGCACTTAAAATGGTGAATTATATCTCAAATTAAAAAAACACCCCAAACCCCACCTCAGGCCACAACTTCCTCCCAAATATATATATAACCATCTCTGCAACTTCCAGAGATGTCATTCTTTAGAATGAAATTATGTGAGATATTCAAAATTTAAAATACTGAGTGAACTTAAAGACAGTCAGTAATAGTAACAATAATAATATTAACGTAAGCTCTTTGTGCCCTTCGTGCCAGGCAAGGGACCGTGGGAGCTGTGGCTGGGAGCACCGACTGGCCATGCCGTTGGGAGGTGAGCCCTCGGCGTCCCGAGCACGGCCCCCTCAAGGCCAGGGCAGCCACAGCTGCCTGACCTGGGACAGAGACCAGGTCCCCCTCAGGAAAAGCATCTCCCTGGGACCCACCCACGGCGAGCACCACCACCTTTGGATCCCCGCTCATGGACTCAACCACATGGTTGCACTGACCTCCTCTCTATGCAGCACCTGCGAGGAGCCTCGGGCGTGCGGAGGCCTGGGAGACCCGGCGGCCTCCCTGTGAGGAGGGGGCTTGGGCCCGACGGTGTGCGGTGCGCGGTGCGCGGGGGAAGCAGGCCCTCCCCCCCCACCGTGTCCGGGCTCTCACCTAGCCAGTGCTCGCCCGTGAGCTTGCCGAAGCCGTCCCGGTAGGCGTCCCAGCCTCTGAAGAAGTTCACGGAGCCATCCTCCCGGCGCTGAAACACCTGCGAGGGAGAATGAGGATGGGGAGCTGGCTCCAACCTTCCCAGGACCCCAGGTTTGACCCCCCTGCCCCACACCTGCCCGCCTGGGGACAGCAGGGGCTGGGCCTCCCATTTCCCTCAACAGCTCCCCCTGGGGCCCCGGGGCAGAGCAGGGACCAGGGACTCTCGTGGTGGAGGAGGCGGGGGAGACTGACCCCTAGGCCCTCAAACGCCCCCTTGTGAAGGAACTGGGGTGGACGGGGGTGCAGTGGAGACAGCCTAGCTTCCAGGCCCACCTCTGTGGCCTGGCTGCGGGACTCCGGATTGGTCCGTCCCTGCTGGGGCTTCAGCTCCCTCCGGTCAAATAACAACAGGGTGAGGAAGGGTACTGACATCTTATCCCACATCAACATAAAACTGAATAAAACCCATTCTTGAGTTTTTAAAATTGGCT